GTATGATCTTCATTGCATGCACAAGGTCGTGGCTTACCCGGAAGCCATCCCATTCTATAACGAATAAGACGACTACGACAAGGACGACTGGCAGGTACATACATAACAGGATCAATGCCAATAGTGGGTCGGCAAGCACGGATCAGCACCATGTCTGTTTTTGTCAGGAACTCAGCGTGCCAATGTTGGCGTTCAGCAAGGAACCATTGTTTCATGTGACGTTGATTTGCAAAAGGTACTTCATCAAGCGCGCGGGCAGCCATGTGTTGCTTTTTTAATCTTTTCAAAGATGAACCAGGTAGAGAATCAGAGAGCAGTATCAGCAGGCCATCTTCTGGGAGGAATTGTGAGCGCAAGCAGAATTGAGTCACCAGTATAGCAGCACGTTGTCGCATCAGAGGCAGATTTGTCATGTGTCGAAACACCATGGTGGAAGCAGCACGATGGCCACCAAATATCATGCGGAGGCACGTATCTTGGACCTTTTCAAGAGCCTTGAAATCAGCAACACGCATATTGGCAATGCCAATACCATATTCCAGTTTGGGTCTGATGAATGAAGCATACAATTTGGTGGAGAAGAGCAGAGGGAAGCCAGAACGATTGCATCCAATGGAGTTAAGCTGAGCCATCGAAGCCATGGTACCACGCTGACATTTCTTGACAATAGATGCTGTGCAGATGCCCTTGCGGTCAAATGGAATACCGAGATACACAAATTCATCGACAACAGGAAGAGATTCTCCATACAAGGTCAGGTCAACAAAGGTAGATGAGGTGGAGGACGGTGGATTGATGATAGCACATTTGGCAGGAGCCCAGCGATACCCAAGTGCAAGGGAATGTGATTCAGCTAGTGTCAGCATCTGTTTTACTTCACGAGCAGAACCTAGAATAGCAACATCATCAGCATATAATAAAGCATTAATAGCAATATTAGTAGCATGAGTGGGTGTTATGACGGACCAAAGAGGAGAGGGAGCACATGATGGTGATGTTGACATGACACGAGTGGTGGAGGACGATGCAGCTTGACGCAACAAAGCTGGCAGTGAGTTGATAAAGATACTGAATAAGTGGGGACTAAGGGTGGAGCCTTGAAGCAATCCAGTATGCAGTGAGAGTTCTTGGGACACGCATTGCTGATTCAGCACTGAAATGGAAACATCGTCAAACAAATTGGAGAGCAATGAGACAAGTGGCATTGGAGCATTGGCAGAGAGCAGCGAATTCCAGATCACACGGCGATCAACAACATCATAGGCACTCTTGATATCAAGGAAGCACACAGTTGGCCAGTGGTAGTGTTGGTTCTGGTAGACTTTCATTAAGTCTTGGAGACTAAGAGCACTATCAAGTGCACTTCTTGCGGATCGGAAACCATTCTGGGCTACATCTAATGGTGGTGAAATGGTGAGGACAAGGGGAGCAAGGCACATTTCAAAGAGTTTTCTCAGTGTACTAGTCAATGAGATGGGCCGAAAGCTTGATGCCTCCGTGACAGGCCCCTTCTTGTAGATGCTACAAACATTACCATGACGCCAATCCGCTGGTGTGTAAGACCATTGATAGGTCAGAGCAAAGAGGTATGACAGAACAGTGGCAAGTGGTTTCTGAATGGGTTTCAGCATTTCACCACGAATTGAATCACGGCCAGGTGCTTTACGGTATGGCAACGACTTGATCTGCTGAATGATATGGTCAATACTAATAATCTCGTCAAAAGCTTCGTTGTGGACCGATGCTGAGACAACACGACGTGTTGGGTCAGAGTCATCATGTGGTAGAGTTCTATGTGAGAGGTATGATGGGATGAAAGGAGAAGCATGCGGATTCAATGTACTGATGTCACCATTTGCCAGACGAGTACCACCAAGATGGGAGGCTGACTGAGGAGGAGGAACACCATATGGCAGATGTCTACCATGTGTAGCAAAAGGGCATGGAGGTCGATTTGTTGGGAGATTGGATCCAGCATAAATGGTAGCAAGGTGATCACGCATAGCATTAGCACCAGCTTGAGCACCGTCCACATGTAGATACCCTGATTGTCTTTGTCGTCTGGATTTGATCAACTTGATTTTTGACATGGCCTTTGAAAAGTCTTGCTTGAATAAAGATTCACAGAATGCGTGCCACGAAACCTGTTTAGCTCTACGAAGGGCTTGTTTGAACTTTTGATGTGCTTCCACATGTTGATTCCACCAATATGCCTTGTCCAATGAAGCGGGACAACGACGATATTTACGATAGAGAGCTTCACGATGATCACAGAGCCGTTGAAGATCGAGGGTCCAGAATTTCTTCCAAAAGTTGGGTCGCTGGGATTGCCGAGTAACGGATTCATCCAGTGCCTGATATATGCAATTGGTGAGATCACTGTTGAGGGCATCAATTGGAGGTTGTGTATCAGGTGGTGAGCGCACAAGCGAGATCAGCTGTTGTAGCAACGGTTGAGAGAGGGCTGTAAAGCGTTGTGCATACAAATTGCGTACATCCGTTTCTTGTAGACGTGAGAGCTTCCATAGGAGACGAGGTGATGGTGATGGCGTAGCAGGCATAGCAAGAGCAGGTTCGTTTGAGTGGTAATCAAACGTCAGAGACATCAGTTTATGATCAGATCCCAAAGACAAGTCAGAGTAAATACTAATTGAGGAGGAAGAAGGTGGAGATGAGGTATCCAGAGAGGCAAAGGAAAGTGATTCTACATTTGAGATGTAGTAATCGACAATGCTACTTACATTCCGCCCACTACGACGGTCCTCAAAGGTAGGTGTAGAGTGGGCTAATTGACAGTTCAAAACGTTTAATTGATTATCGGCACAGTACTCTTGAAGTAGACGACCACGGTTATTTGTAGAGGAGTCACCAACAAAGCTACCCATGCGGGCATTCAGATCGCCACAGATGATTGTGTCATGATCCAACGGGATCGCATTCAGGATGGAAGAGACATTTTCAGTATAGAGATCCGCTTGCTCAGGTGGTATATACAGACAAATGAGCCGAAGTTCACGACCAAGTTGAATACCCAAAGCAAACTCTTGAAGAGCAGAGGGCAAAGGCGTCTGGAATGCTGTAAGGGGACAGGAAGGGTTGATTAAGCATGTAATGCCACGAGAGCCACGACCACCGCCTGCGACAGTGACGCCAGGTAAGTGGAATTGCTGCCAATTGGTGGGTAGTCGGATGGGATGGCGGTTCAGCCATGTTTCGGTAATGAACAGCACAGAGAAGGATTGGCAATAACGGAGAACATCATCAATGGTGGTATCTCTGAGACCGCGAGCGTTCCAGAGGCCAATGGTGAGTGGAGTGAGTTGAGAAGCGCTATTAATGACTGGAGCCAAAGCTGTAGGAGGAGGAGGAGTAGTAGGTATAGTGTTATTGAGTATAGTTGGTATTGATGAGGACGGATTAGAAGCAGAGAGAGGATGGTCAGGGAGCGAGGAGGATGTATAATGACTGAGAGGACTCTCAATCATTAATACTCTTCTTCGTCGGAATCAGACATGTCAACATCAGATGAGCCAAAGCTTTTCTTGAAACCAGAAGAGCCAAAGATGTTATTGACAGGGGCGACAGAATCAATGTATTCAGTGGTGGTCCAACCATTTTCCAAAAAGTGATTAGCAACAGAAGCAAAAAGACGAGAACGACGATTGGCAAGGTAGACAAGAGACTTGGCACAACGATTGATTTGCAGGTCAAAGGCAGCATCCTCACGCTTAGAGAGGGACATCTCTTTAAACTTGGGGTCAGCGAGGTGTTTGGGATCAGTAGGATCAAAGCCTTCCACAACATTGATGTTGTTCTTGGTGAGAATGGAGACGAGGTTGTCCTTGTATTGCAAATGGACTAGGACGCCAATGATGTTTCTAGCAGGGAACGTTACATCAATGATACGAGAAGCATCAGCTTTGATCAGATGCAAGTTGTTGCGGACTTCAGTGCGAGTGAAGCGGCGAGAGCGGTTAAAGTACACCGTTGTGTAGCCTTTGGGCCCTTCAGGAGCCAAGTTAAAACCACGAGTAATAGCTTGGCGATGTTTGTCAGTTACATCGGCAGGGTTGCGAACCTTTTTGGAACGTTTGATTACTTCGGTCCAAGAGTTGTTGGGAGTCTTTTTGGTGGCATTGGGTGCTTGTTGCGTGGATTGAGTAGCTGAAGAATGAGGTTTGGGTTGCTGTTGAATACCTGATTTGGGTTGCGCTTGAGTGGTTGTGGAACCTTGTTGAGAGTTGAGTTGCTGACGCAGACGCTCATTCTCTTGGGTCAGGGATTCATTTTGTTTTTGGAGATTCAAAATAGTGGTTTTCAAGGCATTTAGCTCTTGCAAAGCACTGTTGTGGGCAGAGATGTCCTGTTGCATGGTCAATACTAGTCTCTGCAGATCCATCTGCGACATGAGAGTAGCTGGTGTATCGGTGTCCATTGTCATTGTTGATCGATACAAAGGTGTTGAGATGTCGAAAGAAAAATATGATGTTTTTTGTGGGTTTTTCAAAAAAGATGAATATCTGTTCAATCGAGCTGAGGTTTTCACAGGTTATACTTCAAGTACTAGGCACTTAATGTATGCTCGTTTGGTGATTACTGCTTTGTTTACTACTGCTTGGATACACTTATTGGAATTTTCTAATCACGTGGTACCTGAATTTTTGGCGGAACGTAATATAAAATTTCAAAAGCGAAAGAAGGGTGGGGATGTGGGGATGTAGCTCAGTTTAACGTTGATTTTTATTATATACATGAATTCAATGGGCACTCGATGGGAGCATTAGCCTAGAATTCTAGAAACAAAAGAGTAGCAGGTACAAAAAACCCTTATGGGGACACTAACTAAGAAAAGGGAAAAAGGAAAGTGTGGTAGTGGCAAAGGGACGGCATGAATACTGGTATTGTTGATTTGATCTGGAGGAATGACCAACGGATGGGAACTTTGATAATTACTTACCACCGTGGCATCGCACCGAGAAAGCAAAAACAACAAACGTTCATCAATGAGCAGAAAACCAGAGCGATCCAGGATCTGGATCTGGTGGGATCACAGCCAGAGGATGCACAAGGCAATCAATGGCATGCAACAAAAGGAGCAAAGCAGACCAAAAGTACGGTGGACCAGCTGAAGCTTTGTCTGGAAGACAGTTCAGAGCATGGTCAATGCGATGTACACCAGGTGGAGCAGGTGGCAAAGCATCAAAAAAGGTACGATCCAGAGCACGACATGTCAGAAAGTGATCTCGGGAGATAAACTCACCGGTAGTGCACGGACATTCTTCACGCATGTTGGTGAAACGTCCAAGACGCCACCGCACAAGACGACTACGAGCAGATCGACCAATAGGCAGATACAGAATGGGATCTGGACGAGAGACAGACGGACGACAAGCACGAAGGAGAGTCTGAGCACCAGTAGCAGCAGCGGTAGCAAGTTGACGATCCACTTGATCTTGCCAATACGAATCGAAGATTTCAGTAAGACCAGCAGTGGTGAATGGCGGCGGATCAGATAGTGTCAGATACAACGGGTTTTGACAAATAAATCTGTCTAGACGAGTGTACAGTAAGCCACGACGAAGCAGAACCAACAAGCAATCATCAGGAAGAGTATCAGCACGAAGAGCATAACGTGTTGTCAGAACGTTATATCGATGCTTCATGCTGGGAATACAGGTCAAATGTTTGGCAACATTGTACCATGTACTACCAACAAACATACCAACCAATCGATTTTGCAGAGCATCAAGAGCCTTGAAGTCACGGAAAGAGAGATGCGATATTGCTAAGCCGTATTCCAGCTTGGGTCGAATAAAGCTTTTATACAAACGAGCACAAAGCAACAGAGAAAAACCATTTCGATTGACACCAACCGAATTCAACAATGCCATTGTCTTGATAGCACCAGAAGCACGCAGATTGAGAATCCCAGGGGCATACAGACCTTTATATCTAAACGGCATACCAAGATACGTGAATTCCTCTACCACAGGAAGAGGTTCACCGTATAGGGACAATGGATGACGAGTAGAGGCAGTGGGAGCACAAAGTACAGCACATTTTGATGGTTTCCATCTGTAGCCAAGAGAGAACGAGTGATCTGAAGCGACATCCAACATGGTTTGCACATCAGTACGAGAGCCAAATATGGCTACATCATCAGCAAAGAGCAGGCTATTCACGCAAACACTAGGCATCCCAGGTGGTGATACCATAGTACCGCGACTGACAGCAGAACGAAGAAGAGCAGGCAGAGAGTTGATGTACAAAGAGTACAAGTGAGGGCTGAGCACTGAACCCTGCAATACGCCAGTAGCAGGCGAAAAGGGAACAGAGGTGTGATTTGCAATCAACACAGACACGAGTACATCATCGAACATGTGGATGAGCAAACTGAGAACTGAACGAGGCAGAGAAGAACGAGAGAGAGCATCCCAAATCACTCGACGATCCACGGTATCATACGCTGACTTGATGTCCAGGAAAGCCACCACAGGATAGTGATGGTGGGTGAGGAAGTAGTCGTGCATCAAGTCATGTAAACAGAGGGCTTGATCCAGAGGACTACGCTGTGGGCGAAAACCACCTTGAGCAACATCAAGTGCAGGCGAATGTTCATCAAGAGCAGGCATCAGAGAGAATTCGAACAATTTACGCATCACCGAAGTAAGCGAAATTGGACGAAAGTTTGCAGGATCAGATACATCACCTTTCTTGTAAATGGGAAAGACTTGAGCATGTCGCCATAGAGCTGGTGTATACGACCACTGAGAGCAGAGTGTAAAGAGCAGAGACAATACGGGTGCAATGTCAGATGCTAGAGCCTTCAGCATTTCAGCTTTCAGATGATCAGGACCAGGAGCTTTCCCATTTGGCAAACGCTTAATGAGAGCGACAAGTATATCAGCATCAAACAGAGACAGATCAGTAGGCACAGCGTAAGGCAAATCAGAGTTGTTCACTTGGGGAGCAGTAGGGCGAGACGCATTATTCAACAAAGAGCCATCATAGACTGAGGCAAGATGGGACGCCATTGTGTTGACAGAGGCAGTTGGACCGTCTGGATGACTGTACGTTGCAGAGCATTCCTTGTTTCTTTTAATGCGCTTGATTGCAGCAGTGGCTTTCGAAAAGTCCTTTTCTAAATCAGAGCAAAACTGATTCCACGATCGACGCTTAGCAGCTTGTACAAGAGAACGAAAACGCCTGTGAGCAGCTTGATAGAGATTCCATGTTTCGACTTTGGCAAAACGACTTGCCCACCTCCATCTACTATACATAGTATCTCTTTCACGAGCAGCATCCTCAATTTCCTGTGTCCAGTACTTTTTCCAGTGGCCAGGACGACCAGATTTCACACCAATTGAGCTATCCAGAGATTCATACAAACATTGATTCAAAGAATCGTTGAGTGCATCAATATCTGGACAAACACCAGGAGGAGCAGACACCAAACCAGAGAGAGAACCAACCAAAGGAGCAACAGAAGATCGAAAGGATTCACGAAGCAAGCCCAAAGGCCGCTTTTTCCTCAATTTCGAGAGCTTCCATTGCCGTCTAGGGGCCAAACCACCAGAGCTACCAGAACCAAGAGTATCATCAGGAGGCGGCACATACTCGAAAGTAAGTACCATCAGCCGATGATCAGAGCCAAGAGACAGATCAGATTCAACCACCAGTTGAGGATGTAACAGAGCAGCCTCGCCAATGTTTGTAAGAAACAGATCAAATGATGCTATGAACCTCTTGTTGACGTCGAAAAGTTGTGAATGTGGGTGTACCAAATGCTAAAGACTCATTGAGAATGGAAAAGAGGACTCCTCCAGCCATGGAAGTAGTGAGGTACCACGAGGATTAGCATTAGTATCACCCAGTAGAGATCCAAAGCGAGCATTGAAATCACCACAAAGGATGGTATCACCGGTTACGGGTAACGAGCGAAGAAGCGAGAGCACCTTATCCGAAGATAAGGGTGGAGGCAGATACACACAATGAACCGTAAGGGTGCCAACCTTAAGGGACAAAGTGTGTGCATTGTAAGACGGAAGTTGAGAGACAGAGAAAGGACAGGAAGGAGAGACAAAGGCAGTAATGCCGCCAGAACCACGGTTAAATGCACCAGGTACTTTAGAGCCATAGAGGTGGAATTGAGACCAGTTAGTAGGGAAAGAACCAGAGGTTAGCCAGGTTTCAGTGACAAGCAGTACATGAGTGTTCTGAACATGATGGAGAACATCATGTACCGTTGATTGACGTAGACCATTGGCATTCCAAAGGGAGAGAGAGACTTGAAAGGAGTGGACTGGGTTGTTATTGGGAGTATGACTAGTAGCTATGTTACTCATTAGAGTTCCATAGCAGAGCCATTGCTGTCATGATCTTCCTTTTGACGCTTGAACAAGAATTTAGCCTTTTTGGGCTCCTTCTCGGCAAGACGACCGATAGCTTCAGAGACGGCTATATCTAGCTCTTCTTGAGAGATCCAGCCAGCAGAGACAAAGTATTTGCCAACACCACTAACGTTGAGTGGACGAAGGAAAGAGAGGGTTTGCAGAGCACGGGTGTTGGTGAATTCATAGATCAATTGCTCACGCTCTTCAATGGCAAGATCAGCATATTTGGGATCAGCAATGTTGTTGGGATCCAAAGGTTGAAAGTTTTCAATGTGATCAGCTTCACATTTGCGCATACAGGCAAGAAATTCCTCAACATATGGGATGTGGAGCAAGATGCAATGACGCCAGTGGCAGGGAAACAGATGTCTAACACACGGCCAGTATCAATACCAGCTCGGCGAAGTTGGTAACGAACCTCAGAGCGCAGGATTTTACCAGAGCGGCTAGATACACATACTGGTATCCTTGTTGACCTTTGGTGGTGGTGGTTTGGAACATGCGACCTGCAGCAAGACGTCGCTTGGTAGTACGGGCAGGGTCACGATGTTGAGCACCTTTACGGGCAGCAGATGCGTAGCTACCTTGAGTAGCATCGGGTTGGTGAGTAGTAACAAGCTCTTGGGGTGGTGTTACCTGAGAGCTGGAAAGAGCACCTTGATTGGTGCGGCGGGATGAGAGTTGGCCCTGTAATTTTTCAATTGCAAGGTCCTTGGCTTGTAACTGATTTTCAATTCTCCATTTTCCTTTTCCAAAAGGTCCAGGCGAGCAAGGAGATTGTCATGTTGCTGTACTCGCTCGTGAGAGAGACCAGTTGTTGCTGTTGTTCTTGAACAGTTTGGATGAGCTGATTCAAATCCATAGATTGCTGATTATTGTTGCATGGCTGAAAATATTTCTATCAAACTTTGGAGATTCAATAAAATATGAAAAGATGTCAACAAACTGGAAGTTATAACACCAATGTACGTTGACTAAATGCAAGTAAACTGGTACACTGAAGGCTAGTTGGAGTGTTTGTTGTCGAGATAAACCGCTTTTATAGTGAGGAAATACTTTTTACCGGGGGGAAGGTGGAAAAAGTGATGAAAAACGGAAAGAGATGGGGATGTAGCTCAGTTTAACGTTGATTTTATTATATACATGAATTCAATGGGCACTCGATGGGAGCATATAGCTAGATTCTAGAAACAAAGAGTAGCAGGTACAAAAAACCCTTATGGGACACTAACTAAGAAAAAGGGAAAAAGGAAAGTGTGGTAGTGGCATTAGGATCGGCATGAATACTGGTATTGTTGATTTGATCTGGAGGATGACCACGGATGGGAACTTTGATAATTACTTACCCCGTGGCATCCGCACCGAGAAAGCAAAAAACAACAAACGTTCATCAATGGGCAGAAAACCAGAGCGATCCAGGATTTTCTTGGATCTGGTGGGATCACAGCCAGAGGATGCACAAGGCAATCAATGGCATGCAACAAAAGGAGCAAAGCAGACCAAAAGTACGGTGGACCAGCTGAAGCTTTGTCTGGAAGACAGTTCAGAG